ATTTAAATAAATCGCTCGAAACGGTAATGGCTCTGTTCAGGACAGCGCTGGGAGTCGTCGCGCAGGACGCTTGTACGTTTGAACTTGCCTTACTACCAAGTACAGATCTAAAAGCATTAGGTAAAACAACAAAAACTTGAAAGGTTTATTGTTTGTAAATTTATTATGTTGTTTTGTAAAAAGTCGTGGAACAAAAGTTGTTGTTTATGATATTACTAATATAGTCCTGAGATTAGTATTTTGCCTGAAGTAACCCTGTAAAGTAGTGCATTGGGATAAGACAGTTTAATTATAAAGAAAATGGGGGAAACATGAGCATGGTCGTGATTTAAATTCTACTTTACTTAGTAAGTCATAATTTACAAACACAGAACAGGTTATGTACGTCATTATATACGCATACAAGGAATTTTTTAGAATTCGCTGAACGCTTGTAACAATATTTAAAACACATATGTACGTGTCCAACTCTTCGGCAAATTAAGCATGTTTGCAGACTCACCTCGAGAATCCCGCCCCTTTGCTCTTCGCAAGTACATTTGATGCGCTACTATATGGTTTGTAAAACTATGGTTTAGCGCTTCTCCCATTGTAATTTGCTGGGTCTTCGAGGCTAAATAAATTATTGATTAGGTTATTTTACCATCTTTTTCATAGGTATTATTACAGTAACGACAATTTTACTCGTTCGTTAACAAGATTGCAACTAACTATGCTAGGCTACTTTTTCTACTTATCCACTTATACACATACCTAGCAGGTAATATATTATCGTTGTAAGTTTAATGTTACGAATGGATAAAATAAAATTCAGCAATGTTAAGGTTGGGTTTCATTTTATTAATACCCCTAAAATAACTATAAATTTTTGTGGCTTCGTAGCTCTCAAATGGCTGGACTGATCCGAAATCGGTTTTTTTTTATTTGAAGGATAATTTAATCGAAATTATTTTAAGTAGGTAACTCAGGCGTTACTTTGCGGAAGTCCATGTTAATAAAAATGGAAGTACGAAATGATTTTCAGATATATTTGATAAATTGACAGTGTTGAGTGTCGAGTTCTTAGGTTTTCGAGATTGTTACAAATACGAAATGAAACTATTTTTCCGGATTTAAATCGCGTATATTTGTTTTTTCAATCAAACCGACGTTGTGTTGAGTGTGTGCGTTATTATATTTCGGTTCAGCGTCATCATTTTCAGGCCTTTTCCCGGTTAGTGTGGGGATGTCAATCATGAGATGAATATTTATTTCACTTGTTCGAACGACTTCAAATTAAAATCTATTATATATATACTCGTATGTATAAATCCTATGACATTACAATAATATAGCAACTTTAACACTGACTTCAGTAGAACCATTGTGTTAAATTGTTTAATACAATGACTGAATTCGAACCTGCGTCTGTAATACAAATCTGGGGCAACGCTCTACCAACTGTGGCTTTTGTGTAAGTTTTCAAATATGTAAACTTATCGCGTTTGCGTTAAGATTTTAATTTAGACCTTATATAATTAAGATCTAAATAAAAATCTTAACGTGAACGCGGTAGTTAAGTTTGAGTGATTACAAATTTACACTCGGGTCTCTGAGCTACTAATCAAGTCAGCAGACATTACGAATTTGTCTTTAGAGCGGTTACACACGGCGAGTTTTATCTCGATCTCCGTCCGAAACCATTACTGTCAAATAAGTAATATTCGACAAAATTAAAAGACAAGTATCCAGTACGAAGCTTCATTCGCATCATGCGTCTTTTCATTTGGTCAAGTATTGCTTATTTGGCAGTAATTGTTTCGGACGGAGATCTAGAGTAGACCCCTAGCACACAAGCGAAGCGTGGGGGTGCATAGAGGGCCTTGACCCCGGGCGGCACAGCAATGGGGCCGAGTCCTGACTAGTCAAAATTATTTTCTTTTAGTACAACACAAAGATGGCGAGTATGCATTTGACTTCCATCTCACCTGATGGAAAGTGACGACGAGGTTGACGAATTAGCATTCACACCTGAATAATGCCTCTCATCTTGAAAAGGTCCAAGTTATAATGTTCAGGGAACAAGTCAGCAGGCAGGGAATTCGACAGGCAGCAAGACGGTTCAATGTTACATCAACAAATATTTCAAATCTCATCTCGCTCGTCCTCGTTAATCCCGACCATTTCCACCGAAGATGCGCTAGGAGAGAATTGATATTTTGCCATACAAATTTTAAAAATCGTCTCGTCTCGCCTCGCCGTTGGAAATACACCCTTAGACGGGACGTTGTCGCGTATTTGTTTGGTATATCGGTGTACTCACCAGTGTAGCCTGCGCGCTTCAATGGAGTGCAGTGACGTTCAGAACAATGGTATTGGCACATGATGTGGTGTAACGTTATGGTATGTTGTGCAAATGATATTACTAGTCGTGCCAAGGTGTGTATACCGAGTGTATGTGTGTGTACCGAGAAACCTTCCTTAGTCCGCGTGCTGCATCCTACACATTGATGTTAGGACTCAATTTTGTCTCTCCTAAGCAAGGTATGAAGGGAAAATTTTATTTATTATATTTATTTATTTTCAAGGGATAACAAACTAGTGTACCTACATGGTATGATTACATTTGTTGTGAGGTGAAGTGACATAAGTACACGTACAATCAACAACATCATCCACATCTTACTATACTTCGTTTCAATCCATTTTGAATAGAAAGTAAACAAGTCACTGACTCGACTATAGGCGGTTTAGTGATGGCCAATTGCACTGCAAACTACAAATCGATGAAATAATTGAATTAATCGATTTGTTTAATTGAATCATTAGTAGTAACGGTACATTTTGCGATTTCGCTGCTGATTACGTACCAAAAAAATATGTGATTCGATACTGAGTAATGATATCTCATACATAGAGTTAGAAAATTACAATATACACAGGTTGTAGTGCACGACGGTCGGTGAAGAAGTTGTAGAAGGTGGAATGTATAAAAAAAGTCATGGTTAGAACAAGTGTTTGTTTAAAACAAGTTATTGTTAAAAAGTTAAAGTCAATTAAAATATATAAACAGTACATTACGTAAATTAAAGGCAATTCTTCCTCTCGGCTGACAATAGTTATATTGTGACAAGCAGACTACAACAAAACAATTAATAAATGTTTAATTTGTGACTTCACGATATACGCGCTGTGACTTAAAAAAATGTAACATGAAAGAAGGTGAAATAACTGCCGAGAAAAAGAGACACCTGTACATAAACAATACGTTTACAATTGATTAGGTACCACAGTAAATTATAATTCTATTGCAGGTGGCGCGTACATTCCAGTACATATTTAATTTTCTTTGTCAGAACCTGACATTACTTCAGAAGTATTTGAATTTGTAACCACATTTATAACAAATGGTGAACACCGGTCACTGCGTCATTAATAATTCCGTCTAATGACATCATCTTCTCCCCATCTTTTGTAACATGGTACACACGTTTTGCCCACTCATTTGCACCAATCCTCCTTATCCCTTCTTCGAGTAATTGATTGACTTCTGCCAATTTAAAGGTCTTATTATTCCTTACCACTTGTTACTCGTTTGCGTCCCTAAATATTTATCTCGTTCAACCTGTCACCCTGTATAACGCGTAATTTCGCGCTATTGAGTTATTTGGAGAGATTGCAAGTAATAAAATTTATCATCAAAAAAACTTCTTATGTTTTCCGTATGTTCAATATGAAATATTGATACATACCTACTCCAGGACACCGTGCATGTTTATTTTTAAAGGGCAGGACCCAAAACTATTGTTATCATCAAAGAAAATAGTTTTTCCTTGTTATATAAATTCAAATTTTCAACAAGGACTAATGGAAATGACGTTTAGTTTACCAATTCAAAAATTGCTTAATAGTTTTTGATCAATCAAACATTGTTTAAGCTTGGGCCATATTTAACACTGAAAATGCAAGGTGGCTTGATTTATTGTAATTATTTGCGGGCAGCGCAGGACCGATCGTCGTGGAGAGCGTTGGGGGAGACCTATTGTCCAGCAGTGGGCGTCGTACGGCTGAATGACGAGTGTATATTATGTTGTAATGTCGGTATAATCGCACGTGTAAGAATACAAGATTACTTCACTATTTCTCTGTGTTTACGTGTTGAACTGACTGAAAATTTTTAGCGTGGCTTTACTATTATCCTAATAGGTAGGTACTCTTACAATCTTGGCCACGTAGAAAATATAAAGATCGTGAATACTAGTTTCTTAAACCGCTTATCAAGTACACTGAAACCAATTCTCCGGAAAATTATTTTATAAAAGAAAATCATAAAACGGTACTTGAAGAATAGGCAAATGAAAAGTATGTTTTTCTCCATAGGTAACAGAAGAGAATGGCGCACAGACCTAGAACAGACTTCAGATGAAGAATCTACATCTTCTTCAGACGTTGAAAGTGAAGATCCACTTTGGGAACCTCCTACAAATAAAATTAATGTCCCAGAGAAATCAGGACACGATACAGAGGATACAATTATTTATGACAAGTGGAATAGACACAGAGACACTCTTAGAGAAATATTAGTGTATTCAAATGCGACGCCTATTAGAAGTTCTGTAAGCTATAAATGCTGCTATTGTAAAAATGAATTTGCGGAACCTGCACATCTGAAGCAACACTCAATTGGTCATGATCTTGAAGCTAAAGTATCTTTTGCTGCCAGGGCTCATAATCATGAAGGTCGCATCACTTGTGTTAAACTAGATATTACTTATCTAAAATGTGCGCTTTGTCTTGCAAAGAATCTTACATTGGATCGTCTGGTTGTACATTTGAATCAAAATCACAAGCGAAAGGCGTTCTCTGATACTTTGAATTTGATCCTGCCTTTTCAGTTTCCGCCTAATGCAAATAATTTTGAGTGCATTAAATGTACAAGCAAATATATCACTTTTAACGCATTATTACAACATATGAATGAGCATTACCAGAATTTTATTTGCGACATCTGTGGCGCTGGGTTTGCAAACGAAGTTTCTCTACCCGTGCATTTGAAAATGCATGAAACGGGCCAATTCAAATGTAGATACTGTTCTGATATATTTGAATTTGAACGTAATAGAACAAATCATGAATATAAATTTCATAATACTGCGAGAGAAAGAACGTGCAAGATTTGTAATGAAGTATTTAAAAATAAGTACAGAAATAAAATTCATAATATGAAAGTGCATGGCGCAAAATCGAAAGCCACTTTAGTTCCTTGTGGTGCATGTGGTAAAGAGTATAATAGTTCCTGGGGATTAAAGAAACATATTAGACGAGAGCACCTAATGGAGCGAAACTACAAGTGTGAACTTTGCGACAAAAAGTTTGCTCTTAAAGGTGGTCTTAAAAAGCATATGCTCGTTCATTCCGATGTGAAAAGCTTCGCCTGTGGAGATTGTGATAAGCGATTCAAAACTAAATGTGCCATGCAAGTGCATAGACGATCCCATACAAACGAGAAACCTTTCAAGTGCGATATCTGTGGACAGGGGTTTACTCAGAAGATTGGCATAAAAAGTCACAAGTGGTCGAAACATAAAACAAGATAGATGTTTTTTAAATAGCAAACTAACGTGAAACTCCGACACATTAACTGAACTTACGTTTTTAAGTCGAATTTTTGCTCGTGGTCTTTAATCACGAGAGAGCGCGGCGGTGACTCGACGGAACTACGAGTGGTTCCGCCTAAACAAGTTGAGCAAATGTTCGATTTAAATACGCATGAGTCATCCGTTAGTTTAGTTAACAGGACAGCAGGTTGATTTTAATTCATATCGGAATCGATCCGATCGGGTAGCCCATCCGAGTCTCGAAATCAGATGGGTTTCCGAACGAGAAGATGAACCTGATTCCTACTATATCTTTCCAATTTGTGAGTTAAATCAACTATTGTTCCGATTTGAAATGTCAAAAGTTACCGATAGGCCAGTTGTGAATCGCAATTATGCGCCTCGACTCGGAAGAGACGCAGTTTCCGATCGGGAGAGGCAATCAAAATCAAGCTGCAGGTCTTATTTTTATATTCTTAAAGTTTCGGATCGAAATTTTAATCTTTTGAATGTGTATGTTGTTGTTAGCGGTTGCCACCGCTAGTTGTGCAATGCGCAACGGGAAGTGAGCGTGCCTACAGCACCGGTATCTAGTCTGGAAAATAGGGAGGGTCAAGAGGCACTAGCCTCTTCAGAACCGGACGAAGTCAGTGACAACGGTCTGTGACAACTCTGTACACTGGCAAATCTGCGGTCAGAGCCTGAACTTATAAGGTTTTTGTGCACGCACAGGTTATGGTGCCCTTCCCGCATAACCAGGAGGTTGATAGGGAGGGTCACTTTAATCAAAACTTATGTGTAAAAGGTACGTGAGCTGTTTATGCTGAAAATAATTAGTGCCTTTATGGAACTCCGGCTGATGGAGTTAACCCAACATCAAGTGACAAACGATCGGATACTTGTATTTAATAGTTAAAAACTCGCAATCAATACTTGACAAAATAAGTAAAGTTTCACCCTTTCCGGCCAAACATTAGTTATACAAATATATTGAAAGTAGGTATATTATACAGTCATATAAATTGGTCACATAAATTCTCAGCAGTTTTGTGAAGAAAATTGTCTATTTATTAATAGAACAAATGAGAAAAAAGTACCAGCAGTTGTGTCAAAAGAATAAACGGAATAAACTAGTGGGAATAAACGGACTAAACCAGGTGTATTGTGTTTTTTAAATAGTATTATGTGGGGACACATAGAATTAATAATGGGTAAATTTTACTAATAATTGTTGTAAAATGTAACTAAATGACTAAATAATAACATCAAAATACCATAGATATAAAAAAATATATCTACAAACTACAAATGTCAAAAATTACACAATGAAGGTAGAGATTTTTCATTCAAAAATTCGGATTCGGACACTGTTCAAGTCTTAGACTATGGAAACTAAAGGACATGTTATGTTGACATGTATAAATCAGACGTTATATGTATATGATGCATTTCGACGTCGAAAACATAAACATGTTATTGTCTTTGTTTAACTATTGCGTGCCGTCTTAAGCCAAAAGAGATAACATTACATTGGTCTGTGTCAAACACAGGAATCGAAAGTACGTAACGTCATCTTAAATGCCAACTGTCCATTTTGTAGTACATGAGGTACATGATACGGTTGTCAAAGGGAAGTACATCAAATGTCAAAACAAATGTTTTTCCAAGTGTTTTATTGAATTATTCGCATGTATTGTAATAAAATGTACAAAAATATTGACAGTGAGAACAATTAAGTATTAATAAAAATTCGTCGTTGCAGCATTACGGGATGTGGCATTTGAAAAAGCGAAGATCGACCGAATGTGACATTGTACAGGCACGTGTTATTTTTCTGTCTATAAATCACACAAAAGCCCAAATGTCTCATGTAATCAGACATATTTAAGTAGTTTATTCTTAAATCTAGCCAAATTTTGCTTTGGTTTCTTCAGATTCCCTGGTTGTTTGTATATTTCAATGATTGTTGTTAACGACTATTTTGAGATAGTGTTGTTCTTGGAAGCCTACATATTATCGATATTCTGTTATTAAAATAATTCACTACGAGGTTTTTATTATTTTATTATTTGTACTATTTCAAGTTTAAGTAAAAAGGAAATAGAATGGTTGAAAATCATAAATTGAATCAAAGACCATCTTCATTTATTCGCTTCATTTTGAAGAGTCAAGTTTTAACATAACTTTGAATGTAACTAGATTACATGATAATGTAATTCCATCATTAGGTTTATTGGTAAATAATTTTATATTTAATTTGGACTAAACACGACCCATTTACTAGGAAATCTCAGTTACAAAAACAAAATTATCCACTCGTTTCCGATTTTTTCCCACTGACAACTCGTGACTACTAAAAATTCTTATTTTATAAAGCCAGCAATACAAAGACCATGTTGGCTAACGTTGCCGGGTGAAGGCATAAGCCTTGGTATTAACCAACATATAGACAGCCTATTTGCTTTGCCTTGCTTTGCCATCGTTCGTTGTCACTCGCCTAGCTGACCGAGTGAAGGCGAGCGCTAACGTGTATAGAGCTCGTTTGACGTGTCTTGTCACAACTCGCAGTCGCTCGTGACTACTTGTTTTACTTCGGACAAGTGTCGATTTTTCTGCACAAATCAAAGGCGCTCGGCCAATAGTAGTCAATGGACATTGTATAATCAGACATTTGCATGCTACTTAATATATGCGAAACATGTTTATACTACCACTATCTCTTGTTACATCTCCTATTATACCATGTTTTAAACAAATAAACGTATGATAATAATATTATTATTGATAACTTTTATTTATTTCCAAAACTAAATGGTAGTATTAAAGATTCACTTAAATCAGTCACTGATATTAATTCTATACCAATGCAAATACAAAAAGTTTCCACTATTTGGAATCTGTTTAAAAAATCTCTATGATAATAAGAATTTTGAGGTTGTCAATGTATAGGATTTATATTTTAAAGTTTTTTCTTTTTATATACTCTCAAATTACAATTATTATTTTTTCTGTAAAAATTCCCTTTTCGTAAAATTTGAGTATTTGTAAACGCAAAACAATGAATTCAAAATTTCATATGACATTCCCGGATATTCTCATAATAACCTAAAATATCCCCATATGGAATATTGATCTACATATTTTAACTATGTAACTGTGTAATGTTTGCATGTCGATAATGACTTATCGATAGATTATGGTACGACACTAAAGAAATCTGCCATTTGTTCGTTCAATTTTTGTTTAGGTATGCACGTTCATTCCGTAGTTAGGGGCAGCTCCTTTCTTTTATTTTTTTTCCATCCTCTAAGGTTCAAGGAAATTAAACGTTATGATTCGGGATTACTAACTGACATTGGCGACGACCGCTATAATTTTTATATTATTTTTACAAAATTGACACTGACCCAACTCTCATGACCGCCATTAAAAAATAAAATAAGGAGTAAATTTTATTACTCCATATGTTGTTTAATTGTTTTTGAAATAGTATAAGGTTTTTCTCAGACCGGACTACTTCATTATTGTACATTTTTGGCGCCATTACAAAAATACTTTTATGTATGTAGGTAGTTTTACAAGCTTTCGAACGAAGTTAGTCGTAACGGCCTCACAACAACGTCTTAGCTTTAGAGTTTTCGTGAACAAGTGTGGGTGCATTCGGACGCATACAGCAGTTTCGTAAAGTGAAGGAACAGTCAATATTCGAAGATCTTTAAAATGTGTTTTCCAGCTATCTGTTTTTTCAATCGACAAATTCCTCTGACAGACTCAGAAAGTTCAAAGTTTACATAGTTACCTAGAAAGATAAAGGGAATTTTGTTGAAGATGCGTGTCAGGTGGTGTGCGACACGCCAGCCCTTAGCGGTGCCATTCACATCACAAAGATCTGATTGATATTGCCCATAAGTTGGCAAGTCCCATGTACCTCTAATTTTACCAACACCCTTACCTTTCAAAACTGGAACGCAGCTGCGGTCAAGCATTAATGGTCGTATTACTGCTTGGCTGCAGAAATAGGTAAGGTGTCAGTATTTTCCTGGACCAACAAATAGCTCTACTGCTACTAAACATGTTTCGTATTTATAAAAAAAATATTGGATTACTTGCGTTCTTCTTTGTATTGTACATACATTTTCTTTTTATGTTATAATTTCAAATACTTAGGTTAAATAAAACTGGTTGGGAAACATTGTACCTGTAGTCTTATATTTATTGTATAGTTTTAAGACTTGATTTATTTTTTGTTTTGCTTTAGCAATAAATTTTTCATTAACATAAACAAACTCGTTTGGTTACTAAAACCCAAAATCTTGGCATTTCTGATTTTTTTCGCATCTCAGATGGGAGAGAAAGCGCTTCAGAGGTGCAAGAGAAAGGTAAATTTTCTCGTCTCAAAGATAAAGAGTGCAAGTTGCTTATTCCTATATCCTCGGAACGAAAAAATGGAACAACTGCTGAATAAAGTACGCATAGTTGTGTCTTTTTTTCGTTACGAAGGCAGTATTGCTGTAAGATGAAAAACTGATACTGCAAATTATGACCTCATATAATTGATAGTAATGTACTATTTGTTATAACAATTGTTTGTGTTGTTGTAACAAGTGCTTTTGTTGGTCATTTCTGTTATACCATCAATGGACAAGTCAATGCAATTTTAGGATCCTTCTGCACGTCCGACTTCGTCGAGATCTCAATGACAATTGACTCACAGGTTGACTGCAATGCTATCAATTTTGTGCGCGTGACACACTGTATTAAGTAGATACACGACATTAAGTAATTGTAAAACCAACTTATTTTGAATGTTTTTACCCAGCTTCAAGCCGTCTCTTCGTCGCCATTGTTATTTAATTTTATTAAAATAAATAACGCACACTCATAACCCCGCACTAGGGAAACCCTGTGTCGCGGGTGCCATGGACATAGACAACTACAAATTACACCCAAACTCACGAGAGAAATAAACGTAGGCCATACAAATATTTCTCCCGGCCCGGGATTCTAACCCGGGACCTCTGCATGTCAGTCCAGCATATTTTATTTATTTATTTAATAGCTTATTGTACAGGAAAAATACAAGTCACAAAGAATACAAGGGAAATAAAAAACAAAAGGTTCTGCTTATTTCTAATAGACATTTCTTCCTGCAGACTTAAATACAGGATACTATAACTAAAAGAACGGGCAATAGTTACGAGTAAAAGGCGGCTTTCACGGCTAAACAAATAATTGAATTTGGGAAGGAGTTATTATTAAATAAGAATATCTACATGCCTCTATCAAGATCACAATATTCTACTACTAACCTTAAAGTTTACTTGATGGACTTATTCGATATCGCGATGGTCAACTGCTAGAAAAACTGCACAAAAAAAGAGGTTTAACCTTGTTTAACAAAGATAATATAGGTGTTTCCGAAGTACTGAATAGAATTCACGAATTTAGAAGTATCTGCTTATTGTAAGATTTATTTTCAGCATACGAAGGAAAATAAATAAGCCCAAAAAAATAACACGATACTTTTCTTTATAGGTTCGCAACAACGAGACAAACTCATGAAAATTAAGACCTTGAAGGTAATGCCTGGTGCTATCGTAAAAGCAAGAAAAGACCGAAAAAGAGATGACGATGGAACATTGTTGGATCGAGAAAAGTCGAAATTAGAAAGAGAGAAGCATTATCACAATACCAAACAGATACTTGTCTGGTCAAACGCGACGCCAATAAGAAAGCATAACGATGACGGTTACGTGTGTTGTTTCTGTCCAGAAAACTGCGCTGAGCCAGCTGTATTAAAACGGCATACATTAGAGAAACACGCCGATTACAACATGAAATCCGCCAGTTTTATGACAAAAACTAACATCAACTCTTACTACGTTAAAATGGACATAACTGGTCTTAGTTGCAAGATTTGTTACTCCAGTATGGACAATCTTGAATCTCTGATTGAACACCTGAGAAAAGTGCACCACAAGAAAATATATACGGATATCAACAACAGAATCTTGCCATTTAAATTTAACACTTCAACGCTTACCTGTTTTCAGTGCTCAAGCACATTTGGTAAATTCAAAGCGTTGTTGGAACACATGAACACTCACTACAAGAATTTCGTCTGTGAAATTTGTGAAGCTGGCTTTGTAACACGAACCATGGCCGTAGCGCATACCAATATACATAAAATTGGTACTTTCAAATGTGGGTATTGTCCCAAAGTATATGACACTGCAGTCAAGAAAATCAACCACGAACGATGTAATCATACAAGAGTCGAGAAACAGAACAAATGCGGTTTATGTACCAGTACCTTTAAATATTATCATCAAAAACAAAATCACTTGTTAACTGTTCATGGCGTTAGTTCAAACGTGAAATGCCAGGCTTGTGATAGAAGCTTTGCGGATCAGAGAAAACTTCGTGTACATGTTAGGAAGCATCATTTAATGGAACGCCAGTACAATTGTGACTTCTGTGAAAGAAAGTTTTTCTCCAAAAGTGAACTGAATGATCACAAAGTAAAGCATACCGGGTCTAAAGAGTTTCAATGTGATAAATGTAATAAGTCTTATGGTAGGAAGAAATCTTTGAATGTGCATATGAGGGTACACGCTGCAGAACACTAGATGTAATGACGTTTCGATGTTTTGGTAGATCTTTCTATGTAATATTAATTACGTGAACTGGGGTTTTAAGACTCATGGTTATCCACTAAATGATTATCACTAATTGCAGACGCTACGATTTCTTTTTATTTTTCTGATATTTCGGAACGACTACACGCTTGACAGGCGTTGACTGGCCAGCGGCAGATGACAGCTTTGAGAACGTCTTTCGTTGTCGACGACTACCTTCATATCGATTTCTTGCGGCGTTACCATTGTCTCTAACCGATTTTCGGGAATATCGGCAAAATGACAACAAATCATACCGTTAATTAATAATATATATTTGGACTATATGAAGCGATAAAGCGCTACCTACACTCTTCGCATACATTCCGACTCGGTCGCTCGCACTCTTTGTTGCGTTCAAAGCGGCTAACGCCAAGGCAGACTATAAAGCACTGTTCAGAAACTGTACGAAGCCTATAGGTTAATCACGAGGCCAAAGACAACCTAGATACATTGATGTACTGCTTTTTTAAATTTCATTTTATGACCTTGAACGCAAATCCTTCAGTCGAAATAGTAAAGATAGAAAGTAATAGAATAGTACCTAGTGGAAGTAATTTTTTTTTTTATAGTGTTTACGATTTTTTAATTAAATACAGGAATGAAATAAAGTATGATGTCCTGCATTCTGGCGCAGTATTACGGTTTAAACCACTATTTATACTAATTGTCTGTCAAAAAGTTTTCAGTTGGTGTTTAAACCACATTATGATGATTAGTTTGTAAAATTGTTAGTTAAAAATAGCGTGCATCAATGCCGTTATGCTGTTTTTTGCCGTACGAGGTTAGCCTGGTCTGTTTGTCTTCACACCAAGGAATTTTTGGTCTGAACACCAAAAAGTTCCATTGGCGTATATGGTTTTTGTCTTGCGTTCCTTTCCATAACCCTGTAGGCACCTATCATAAATTATCATTATCCCATTCAATGCAAGATGCGTTTCATGTGTCATTAGTTGTACATTTTGTCAAAATACCCTTATCTGTGTAAATTGAACATGTTACAACATCGAGTATATAACCAGAAATAGAGACTTAAACTGGTCGATTGAAATGAAACAATTGACGACACCCGTCAATGTTTCGAATTCGGGCTGGCCAATCGGAGCGCAGTTGTCACCGTAATGATATGGCAGAATAGTTTTCAAACAAATTAAATGACATTTCCTCTCTATTTCTGGTTCTTTACTGGATGTGTTACATTTACTGTTGATGAACCTAATAAATAAAAAACAACGTTGTACACTTTAAATGGTATTATAACACACACATGGAACTCATACCAAACTTCTGGTCCTAGGAATAGTCGTTTATTAAACTCATTTGAATCTCGTTTCTTTTAAAGGACCGGAAATACAACTATTGTCTCAATATCTTTTGGTAAACGTGTTTCGGCTGTCGTCGGATTTCTATCAGTTGTTCTTTGTACTTGGTGCATCGACTTGGAAGTAAACAGAGTAACTTAACACTCTTTAACACAAAAGACTTCACAGACACAGAAGATTCATTTTGGGTTATATTAAAAGAACACTTTAGATTTTAGAGATGTAAAACAAATAAATAATGTAGTTCACATGGAAAACGAAGCAACAAAAAGTACGTAGTTCTGAATTCAAATGACTTTATATAACAAATCTAATAATAACTGCACACGGAAATTTGTATTCGGGTGCATTCCGAAATCCAAAACTTATCGAGAGACATGAAGAAAGTATTTGTACACTACTTCAAACAAGTTCGTACCTTCCTACATGAATTCAAAAAGTTATTATGTTCTATTCGAAATTTTACACTACGATGTGACGTGAGAAAATAATTTTTCTCAATATTATAAATAAGGCCATTATATAATTGTTGGGGACGAAATTTGTTACGAAATTTAAGAGGGACGGATTATACGGGGTAACCTTTTGTAAAGTTGGTCAAGTAGCCTTATTCGTATTGTTTAAAACAACTACGTGATATTTAATATTCGACTTCGTAATATATAATGAGGATATTTGCTCAATTGATGATACAATTTTTTTTGACGAATTTCTAATTTGAATATATGAAATTTGTTTGACAAGAGTCTCTACGTTCCTTGAGACCGGGAATCGATGCTTATCGAAGCGCAGCCAGCGAAGCTTTCTTGACGTACACTGAAATTGGACAATTTACGAATGCAATTCGTCGGTCTTTCCTCAAATACTTATATAAAATTTGAAAATAACTAGCATGAAAATACGTTTCTTCGGGTCATGAGCAGGGGGCCTACTATGAGCTTATAACCAGCCAACGAAGTTCCATGCAATTTACTTAACGTGTTAAAGCTGAATTGCTTAAATTCGTATCATGACCTACACAAAGTTGACAGGAAATGGCATGGCGGAAGATTAATTATACTTTTTACACGTGAATTGTTGTCTCTGGCTGGCTAGCTGTGACATAAAACAAGAGCGAGCTGGAACTACATACTAAATCATATGAAAGAAATAGACAGATGTACTATCCTGGGAGCGTTCAAACACTATTAACCGATTGTGTTCAAAATGAGAATAATTATATTTTTTTATTAATTTTATTATTAATTATACTTATAACGTTGTTTTGTAATATCGGCAACTTTTCAATCATACTTTATAATTTGTCGTACGACAAAATTACATTTCATGTTTAGACATTAGCATTGAAATTAATAAGGTGAATTTATAATTTGATATAATTGAAACGTATCGTGTATTCGTACATTTTCATTGAATGCAATAAAGTCAAATTTGACACTATTTTAATGTTTTTTTTTTCGATTTTCGGTCAATAAAATTATTAAAATGATTAAAATTACATTTAAAAATTGCAATAATATTCATGCCAATAATTTATCAACAATACTTTAAATATTGGAAACTCAAACTAAAATTTTCAAAAAACACTCAATAATTAATAGTATTAAATAGCCTAAAAAGATAACAAATAATTATGAAACTGAAAATCTTAAATATAGTAAAACTTAAACGAAATTTCTTAAAAATGTAACAAAATCTAAAAAAAGGTAGTCACGGAGTAACTTTTTTTGAATTGCTTATTTTTACAGATTTGCATGGCAAATGGCACATCATGATACGATTTTGCTATGAAAGAAAAGGTGAACGGATTTCGAATGAGGAACGTAAACTGCTTGGACAGTGAATTGTTTTTGTGAGGTCATAGTACGAATTTGACAGGCAACCCAACTTACAGGCTTAAATAGGATTGCTCTAAGAGCTCATAGTAGGCCCCCAGGACTAATTTTCGCTTTCGAACTGTGATGTCTGATAATTTGAAATAAATTGCGCGCCCAAATGTGCACATTTGTGAAAAAAAAAGAAAAATAAGAAAGATGGCTGTGCTTCGGTAGGAAAGCGACATTCAGCCTTAGTTACTATATTTACCCTAGACCCTTGTTTGCGTTGCGTTGTTGCAATATTAATTAAGACTTTATTAAATAAATTATTTACAATTATGAATTTCCTTAACATGATCGTCATGACCATGAATGTCAGAACAGACGGAGAAAAAAGATGGAAGCGGGACAATGCTCTTATTAAATTGACAATATGTATCTAATTGCGTTCATAAATTATTATTATTATTGGTAGGTGCATGTTTTAATAAACTTCAAACTTTTTAAATTGTAATAACCTTTTTGTTACAACTTGCAACTTGCATAGGAAATGAATTTGGGATGTAATACCTAATAATCACACACGCAGAGCGCTGTGCGTTTTCTACTATGTAAATTAACAACGAACCAAAAGATATTAATTGTAATGATTTGTGTATAAACGCCTCGTTGCATTCAGTGTGTGAAGCGCCTTCTGAATATACCTATATAAATTAAACGAGATAATACTAAATGTGTATTTTTTTAGTTGCCTGCAAATAATCAAATTTTTTTCAATACAAATTAAGACTATAAAACATTGAGTACTTGGGTTTCTGCGATTTAAAAAAAATATCTCTACAAGTCCCATGGTTGTGGTAGACTGACTGGCTTGTTTAAAATAATAAACTTTGTACGTGATTTTAGTTTTTAAAAACTTAATTTACCTACAATAGACGCGTCTAATGGCAGTATGATTTGGCTACAGAAACTATGAACTGCACATTCTGACATTCTGCCACAGCCCGTAATGGTTAAAAATGTGTTATACGCTTATTACCTACTCAATAGCAAATAGCATGCAAAGAATGTACGTAATATACCTACATGTTAAAAACATAAATATAATTCTATGTGACTTAACAATATAGTAAAATACAATAGTGACCAACATTGTTGATTAAAATAAAAATATACAGTTTGTAAATAACACTCTAAAATCAGAATTACTTCATTTGACAATAAATGAAGGAAATAAAAAAATAATAATTAAAGATGACTATGGAGTACACAGTATTCATCTATCTAAGATGAGCAGTTTTTTTTTCCAATCGACCCTACCGTGACGTTACTCAAACCAACTAGTAAGTAGAGTATTTGCTTATTTATCTTCCTAACGGCTTACAACATTAATTTGTCCCATTGCTGGGTACGGGTCTCCTGTCAGGCGAAGGTTTAGGCCATGATCCGCGGGTTGGAGACATCACACGTTTTCCGAGGGTTGTGAATGTTGCAAAACGGTCTTATGGGTATAAGCTCGGCACGAAACGCGGGGGAGGACGTCACGGCGAGCGGCAGCGGCGCAGAGGCACTGGTCGTATGGACAGCCACCGGCGACGGTCGACAACTGTATATTTATTTGTAAACCAATCCATGTGTAATTGAGACGGCGATTGTACCAGTCCTATTGCCAGTACAGTCCACTTTTATTTCACGTCTCTTAGGGCCCAAACATGAACATTCTTCGACGTGCAGGTTCCATGACGATGTTTTTCCTTCGTCGAAGGAAAAGGTTCATAGTAAATTCCAAATTAGATTTCGCACATAAATTTCGAAATACTCATGAGGTGCGAGCCCAGATTTGAACCCACAGCCTATGCTTGAGAGGCGGTAGATGAAACAATTAGGCTACCAAGGCTTCGGCCGACTTTTCTTCTTCCAATATTCCACCCTGCGCCACTACTACCTACATACATATTTAGATATTAATCCCTACGTAAAATAGTTCCGTGTGAATGTAAAAGATAGCATTATTTAATTGTGTATTTCCAAAAATTCTAAAACAAAACTCTCTGGTTTCGATGTCTAGAAACTTTGCCGTTGACTACATTAAAATCTTCATCAAACCGTATAGTTGAACGAGAAAGTTAAAGCGTAGTGCTTTTCTATAACAACAAGTATAGTTACAGACGTCCTACCATTCTACAAGAACGTACGGAAACGTGTTTATATTTAAAATGTAGAGTACATTTTCTCGCTATAATTTTCACTAGCAAATGGGTTTAAACACCTGCGAAAAACTTCGCGAAAAGCGGAGATATCTCCCGTAAAGGCTCTCACTTCAAACGATTCTAGCTTGTACCTATAGCCAATAATTGATTTTTTCCTTTATAGGTGCAGCGACAGTTGAAGAGCTGTTGAATAGAATGAATCCAGACGTTCACGTACAAAAAGTCATCAAAATCGAAAAGGTTGAAACTGTGAAAGAAGAATCGCAAATTCAGCACACCGTAATCGTACCTAAAGCTATTAAGGTACAGAAAGCATCAATGCAGAGACCGATTAAGATTAAAAACTTTGGGCTGATCAAACAAGAACCGTCATCACCCAAAAAGAAAGACTCGTCAAAGAAATTAAAGATACTCCTGATAAAACCGCAACCTGAAAGAAAAATTAAACTAGTCGCTAAAAAAATAACGTCCGGAAATAGTAATGCGAATGATAAATCGTTATTACAAGAGCACAAAAATTTGATTCAAGAATTGACCAAATATTCCAACGCTACTCTGATAAAGAACGTATTTGACAATGGATACCATTGTTTCTACTGTGACAGTTGCAAGTTGACACCGGCTGAGCTTAAGCGTCATACAATTGAAGAACACGGCGATGCAACATTGACTTGTTTTACCAAACGCGATAGTGTCGCAAAATTAAGAGTGAAACTTGACATAACAGACTTAAAATGCAAGATGTGTTTCCAAGACATTGAAACATTGGAAGAATTAAAAGAACATCTCGTTAATGTCCATAAACGACCAGTAAATTTGGAATTAAAAAATCAAATTGTACCAATGAAATTTGACGATGGAGATTTGAAATGCTGCATATGTGGAAATTTCGTTTATTTTATGAGTGGATTATTGAAACATATGCACACGCACTATCCTCACTATGAATGCACAGCACCAGGTTGCAACTCAGCGTTTATGAATCAAGGCTGTCTTAATAACCACATAAGACATTTGCACACGGCGTCCAATCTAAAATGCAACTTCTGCCCGGAAATATTTGACAGAGAAGTGTTGAGAAAAACGCACGAAAAATACAAGCACGGAGCTAAAGTTATGATGAGCAAGTGCCACATTTGTGGGATGAAATTCAGCGATTTCTCGATTAAGCAGAAACACGTGTCTGATGTTCATGACGGGCGAAGAGAATACAAGTGTAATGCTTGCGATAGTGTCTTGTGCTCGGTGGCTGGTCTCAGGAGACATGTAAATCGAGTACACTTGATGGAACGTCGCTTCCCTTGTGATCTTTGCGACAAAGCGTTCTTTGCTAAAGCTCAGTTGGACAACCACATAATTTGTCACACGGGCGAAAGGAACTTCAAATGCGACTTCTGCAACAAGAAATTTAGTCGAAAAAAGACTCTTAAAGAACATATTAGGATACATTTAAACGATCGCAGATTCAAGTGTCAGATATGTGGCTTGGGTTTCGTTCAGAACTGCAGTTTGAAAGGACACATGAAGTCAAAACATGGGCAGTGAAATACGTTATGCTTTATTACACATAGCACTTATAACATTAATCTCTAGTTACAATATTTTAAAAAATATATTCATGAGCATTCAAATCAGGCGGCTAACAGAATAGATTCTATTGCAATGAACAACAACTCAATTGCTTGAATAATGGAGCTAGAATGGCAAAACAAATGTAATAGAAATTTTAAAAAAACTGCCGTTAGCTGTTTTATTTAATTACCTGTGTGTAAATGAGTCAAACAACTCTTTTACCGACATCCTAGTTTTATACCTTACGGTATGTAACGTTTGTTGTGAATTATTGTTCAAAGCATATATGAAAACTTATTTCCCTATCTCTGTGTCTACTGGGTTACCAGAATTTTTTACGACTTTATCGCAAAAAGCATCGATTTTTTTTCATTATTAGTTCTTTCATACGCAATTTAATTATATCATATGGCACGATCATTCTTCAAGAAAATATTCATGATTATGGAATAATATTTGTAATTTTGTTTATGGCATTACCAACCACACATAATTTATCTAATAGTTTTATAAATACAGTAATACCCCGCTTTACGAGAGTGATGTGTTTCGGGCAAAATCGCGTTAAGCGAAATTCGCGTAAAACGGGGTAGTTCTTTTTTTTGTGTGGCCCGTCTGGTGCTATAGTTTTTTGGTCGCCCTAGGGTCTCTTACCTGATCTAACGACTGCTACCAGAGATAGAACGGGGTATGATCGAATAACAAGCTAAATATTGTAACGAGCATGGTATTCGAACGGACCCATCTTTACTAAAACTTTTATCTTCGTCTCCAAACTCAAGCTCTTACGCTCTTCTTTCTTAGCCGGTGGCGTCATTGTTAGTAAAAATTATCTTTTACAATTCACTGGATAACAGACAGCACCAATGTGATACAAATTGAAGGAGCTACCAAGAAAGAACTACCTCAGACAATGCACTTTTAGTAACTGAGAAGCTACGGGTTCAAATTGGCCAAATCAATGCATCCGCGTAAAGTGGGGTAATTTAGCGCGAATTTTGAAAATCCCGTTACAACGAAATCGCGCAAAGCGGGGTATTACTGTATATGGCAAAAACTGACAAATTAATATTATTTAGGTATTTTATCTAGACTACAGACAAATAGGAGTTGTTTTTTTTATTAATTATGAAATGTTTGTCATTTGTTAAACTTTATTTACAAATTTAGCGCTACTCGAGTGTCGGTAAAATGGTAATTGGCTCATGTCATGTTAGTTAACTGATATTATGTATATTTTATTAATTACGTAAATCAATAAAAGTTGAATTGAAAACTTCATTTTGTTTTCGTCAACCATTCTGAGACTATTTTACAACATATTTATATTCGTTCCGTGGCATAGCGTCTGCCACGGTTTGCTGGAAGACGTTATTTCGAATCCAGCCGGATGTAAGATATTTTTACTTAGTGTTCGATCTTTGTATTAATAATTGTTGCAAACTAGTGCAGTAATTTCACAAAAATAGTTCCTTTTCTTCGGTGAATGGCAGAAATAATTGAACGTCACAGTGGTCAAACATTTTGATAAAACTTAAATATTACCAAAGTTTTAGCGTTGCTACAGGTGATGCGTTTCACTGTTTTAAGGCTCTGATACTCAAAGAAACTAGCGTTTTATGCTAGTCTTATGTGAAGCCCCGCGTCATAGACATATTCCTCTCTTTAAATCTATAATACTTGAAACATTGACTTACAATTATATGGACGTCGGGCCCGCGCTAAAAAATGTCCGAACTTATAGGGCGTTAAAATCGTATACAGAGCGTCATTCACGCTTTAGTCTTCGTTTGTTCGACTGATAGCGAAGCAAGCAAAATTAGACAGTACTAATGCGATGACATTACAATTTAAATTCAACGTTTTAGCTTTTTCATATTCCTTTACATGTCACTACGTTTAAATAGGTTGACTTGGGACATTTTTTTCGTGGTTTTTGTATTAGACCCGTCGTCCATTTATTTGTAAGTCAATGACTTGAAATGAACATTTTAAAGGATAAATATGTAAAAATATTTATTTACAAAGAGCAAAGTCTTGAGTTTCTTTCTTTGCTGTCTTACGAATGAATCGTAGATTTTAGTCAACGTGACAGAGTGGGTCATGTACATCGTCGTCACGATTGATGTTGTTCCTTCAATTTCCACATTTTGCTTGCGCGAAGACAATTTTAACAAAAGCATTTATACCATAGGTTCCCAAACTTATTGGCTCGCCCACTTAGGCAAGATAAAAAAATTTCAACGTGCACTAACTCAAAAAATAATTTAAAACATGTATTTAAAAAAAATATATATATATGAAGGAAAAAAATTATATATTTGTAGTGTAGTTTATATAGAAAATTCTAGGTTTTTTTTTATATAGTAGCGGTAGCGCCCCTTGGACAGCATCAACGCTCCCCAATTGTTTCCGAGGCTTCTACCGCCCTCCTACGACTTCTTAAGCGCCCACTGGGTAGTGGACCACTTTGGGAAACTATGCTCTATACCTACATACCCAAAATCCAAACTTTCGGATCGCAGCGAGCAAAGCTTTCTTGGCATCTGCTTAAGTTTCACAATATACAAACCGAATGACTCGGCTAAAAATGACATTTGATACTATAACATAAAACTACAAGTCGTGACGAAGCCCAAATTTTCAATTTAGATCTCTGTTCTGATCTGTGATCTGAGATGATTGAGGTCAAAGGTCATCATAGTCTATGGGAAAAATGCAAATTGCAAAATTTTTCGCGTGCAAATGTAGAACTGTGAGAAAGAAAAACAAGAAATAAACATAAAACTCTGCCTAAGTTACTTTTGCGGTAATAACAGTAACATCAACTCAATTTTCATTAAGACTAATGACACCAAACGAAGAGGAGGAAATTAATTTATTCTTTTCGTTGTAGGTCTTCAGCGCATATTCTTCAAAACTGAGGACGAGCTTGAATATGAAAAGCCTAAAGTTCAGGCAAAAGGAGAGGTCCTTGAGCGGCACCGAGTTACTGTGAGAGAAATCCTTCTTTGTACTAATGCAACCCCTATCAGAAGCCGCGGCGGAATTGGTTATAGCTGTTGCTTTTGTGCCGACCAATACCCTGATGCCGCTGACTTAAAAAAGCACACAATCGAAGGCCATGACGAGACTGTCAAAGCCAGCTTTATGAAAGGACTAGATCTGTCTAAATTCTATGTCAAAATGGATATAACAGAGCTGCAATGCAATTTATGCGGAAGTTTAATCGAAAGTATTGAAGATCTTATCGATCATCTAAAAGTAATTCATAAGAAAATAATATATTCGGAAGTTAAAAGCCAAATACTGCCATTTCAATTTCACGCTGATGGTTTACAATGTTACGTTTGTAAGAATAGCTTCCACAATTTCAGGGTTTTAGTCGAACATATGAATACACATTATAGAAATTATATTTGTAAAGACTGTGACGCAGGTTTTGTCAGCCAGAGCATTCTGTTCCAACATGCAAAAACGCATAAAACAGGTATTTTCAAATGTGATTATTGCTCCAAAATCTTTGAAACATTGCTCAAGAAACGCGCACATGAAAGGGTTGTGCACACCCATACGAATGCCTTAAACCGATGTGGTTATTGTATGGAGACGTTTAAAGATTACTGGCAGAAGGAAAAGCATTTGTCAACTGTACACGGTGTGTCGTCCGTTTTTAAATGCCAAGCTTGTGACAGGACCTTTAGTCAACAAAGAGGCCTACGAATTCACACAAAAAGAGATCATTTAATGGAACGACCACACGGATGCACACAATGCGACATGAAATTTTTCACAAAGAAAAAGCTAAATGAACACATGGTGAAGCATACTGGTCTTAGAGAGTTCCAGTGTCAGATTTGCTTGAAAAGTTACGGGCGAAAGAAAACTTTAAATCAACACATGAAGGTTCATGACGATTATTGCAAGTTTAAATGTGTACATTGTGGACAGGGATTCGTGCAAAGAATCAGTTGGGTTGGGCATATGAGATCTAAACATGGGGAGCAGGTTTGATGTCCGTACTGTAAAGTTATATCTAGTGAAATAGTCAAGCACATGTTACGCAAAGCATGTATGCTTCTTAAAGAAAATGTAACTCAACTGTGTAACTAAGCTATGTAACTTTGGGTTCCTAAGGGAGCGAAACCAGCGTAATTACAGCGATGGATGACGACAGAAAAATAGATTAACATGAATTTTTTTTTCTTAATGAACGGCTTGGGAGATTAACTTATTGTCTCAATACCAGTGTCCGTTACGTGTTAGTTTCATAAACATCTTGGAGGGAGTGTATATAGAAAACTCTAAGGTCTAAAAACGGTAACTCAGAGGGAGTATCGAAGAAATTTTTGCACATATTGATCCCTAGAATACATCGAGTATATAACCAGAAATAGAAACGAAGTAAGGGTCATCCATCCCTGACAACTCATCAGGCAAATGGACCTTATATCACTTTCAAATATCAACTTTCGTTTGCAGTGAAATCACAAATTAGAAAGCTGAAATAGTACAGCGCCAGCAACTGTATGTACGTCTCCATATATTCCAAAAATATTCTGTATTTATTGTAATAAAGATAATATCTATAACTATGGGAGCTGTTCCATTCGGTGGTGTCGGAAAATCATTAAAACATCTAATTATGAAACAAACGGAATCACATTTCATCGGCAATTAAACATGTAATTTTTTAATTTTAGTCCATATAGCGAAGCTCAAGTTAAACTGGTCGATTTGAAGTGAAACAATTGACGAAACCCGTCAATTGTTCGAATTCGGGCTGGCCAATAGGGCAGTTGTCACCGTAATGATATGGCTGAATAGTTTTCAAACAAATTAAATGACATTTCGTCTCTATTTCTGGTTATGTATTCGATGCTAGAACAAAAGAGACAGCACAATTTTTTAAGCCTATATTGTCCGACTACTGGGCAAAGGCCTCCCTTCCCTCTCTCCACACCACTCTGTTTTGCGCCACTGAGGTCGTCTTTTAGGTGCGCGTCTAGCTCGTCTCTCCATCGAAGCTTTGGCTGCTCGCACAGTCGTTTTGTGGTGGCCTTCGTCTACAATTCGTCTGACATGCGGCAGACGTGTCTCGCCCAGTCCCATTAGAACAAATTAAAAAACACAAATCGTTAGTAACATGTATGTTTAATAAAGTACAAGTGTGAATGTTATTTAGATGGCCATAATGTAAACAAACAAATGTCATTGTCAAAGAGTGAATTCCTTTTTAAGAGACAAAGTGACGGGACTAACAACTGTCCAACTGGTAGCAAGCAACCCGCCCGTCCATAACAGTTGCAGTAGGTACCACTCAGTGCTTTAAATCACAAAGATCTGAGGGGCACCGTCACTGCGCCCGTCGCTCCAAGACACGAGTTGACGAGTCCAATGTGCCTGTAATTTCACCAAAAAACCTTTTGTGCTAAACCTTTAATTTTTACATTTACATATTTAAACAAAAATTTGAACAATAATGCCTATATAATAATTTAACAGGTGTACAGGGTCAAGAGCACGTCAAGTTTTACACTTAAGGCTTAAATCCAACTCTATGCCGCTTACGATATGCACGGTCCAAAGAACAAAGTGTCAAGCTTGATGTGCTCTTGACTGTACTACAACAACAGACAAGAAAACGTTCAAGAAACAAAGCTCGATTAACATCTATGATACGACAAAATGGCGGCACAAAAATATTTTTCATCCCTATGGTGTTACTAGTGTCATCAAATTATTTACGACCGTAAACATAGTCTTTTATTATAATTATTGTAATAAACGAAATTAGTAATAATTGCACCATATGAATTGCTCTCAGTTTTCTCAGATTAAAGCTTCAAAAGAGTTCTAAAACGTTTATTATCGTCAAAAATAAACTACCATTTAAAATGCAATTTTTTCGCTCAGTTATCCCCTTTATTTACATTTTGGACATTTAAATTATCATTCATACTACACCTTGCATAGTGTGATTCTAGGGTGGCCATTGTTTGCCGTAGGCAAAAAAGCAAAAAAGAATATTCTAAGCTCGTGGTCGTAGTTTACAATTTGGACAACGACCGCCTTTCTTCGCAGCATTGCGATCGCCAGATAACGGCACCTCTTTCTTATGAACCCAAAGCTTTTAAACAAACAGCTTATAAATATTAAAACTTCAATCGACAGAAACACGCATGACTCGATCAATCTAACAGCGAATGTTAATGGCTCTGGATACGACTTTTGACATTATCAAATCAAAAATTTTCTTTTAAGCCGGGTACAGATTATTCGAAACGCTACATGCAATGCTCTCTAAAATTTCTCATACAATTTAATGTGTTCGCGAACTCACTGCGTGCTCCCTATGTGTATTCGCAGCGCGCGCGTTGTGATCCGTCAATTGTCGGGTTTTCGACAAACACCTTGAATGCGCGCCGTACCGTCCATAGTTTTCGCGTTGCATTGCATGTTGCGTTGCTAATATTCTGTACCGAGCTTAAGGTATTTTCCATACCATGTTATTTGCAAAAAATTATGCTACTAACAAGTTGTCATAAACTTCGAGTCCTTTGTATTATAAGTAATGATCAGATAATCGGATGCTTATTTATCTATAAAAAGGTTGCTATAAAAATGTCATCCGCCTTTTTTGACGTAAAATATTGGTATGTCGGTTGACATGTTGGGTAACTTAGGGTCGTATTCTAGAACTCTATTCAATGCTCAAGTCAGGATTGCACTGGCAACACAAGCACTGGAAATACGACCCTAATGGCAGGGACTTGAGTATGATTTCGAGTGCTTTAAACCATACTCAAATCCTGACTTGAGCATTGAGTAGAGTTCTAGAATACGACCCTTAGATATTCATTACAGTTATGTTGGTCAACAAGTTTGTGATTATAATTACATACTCTGTCAATTATATTTTTTCTAAATTCACACTTAAATCGCAACATTTGTGTAATAAGGTCACACCTAGAAATTACAACTTCAGGGCCCCAATTCTGTTAATTTTAAATCATCTCAGTTGTATGTCGATGGAGTGTCAATGGCAGGATTTTGTAAGTTTGGTATTCTGCTAGAAGTTAAGAGTAGTGGCTTCTCATGGACTAGCCATCGAACATCGAGTATAATCAGAAATAGAGACGAAATTAGTGCCATTGATTCCTGGCAACTTATCAAGCAAATGGGCCCTATGTCACTTTTAAATATCTACTCTCGTTTGCGCCAAAATCACAAATTAGAAAACTGAAATAGTATAGCGCCAACAACTGTCCTGTGTGTACGTCTCCGTATATTCCAAAATTTTTCTGTATTGTAATAAAGATAATATCTGTTCCATTCTGTGATGTGGGAAAAACAGTAAAACATCTAACTACAAAACAAACGGAATCACATTTCATCGGTAATTAAATATGTAATTTTTCAATTTTCGTCCATTACAACAAAGCACAAGTTAAACTGGTCGATTTGAAGTGAAGCAATTGACGACACCCGTCAATTGTTTCGAATTCGGGCTGGCCAATCGGAGCGCAGTTGTCCCAGTAATGATTTGGCAGAATAGTTTACAAACAAATTTAATGACATTTCGTCTCTTTTCTGGTTATATACTCGATACCATCGACCTATTATACACCTGCCATTGTAATTTTTGGGTATTCAATAATGGCGAGTCCATGGCACGTCGATGGCGTAATGCACTAATGTTATATCTATTTCATATGAAGACTAAATTGCTAATTTAAAGGAGACAAAAATGAAGATGCGTAGTAATATCCTTGTTAGTTTAATAACAAATGGCACGGTACGTTACAAAATTGAGCATAACGTTCATTATGCTTTGTACAATATTGTTACAAAGATTCGTTTCCATTCCATACCGCCGCAAAATAAATTGAGCCTAAGGCCACATTGCCTTTCCATTCCACTGACACTATTGAGACTCAGCAGCCATTGTAACTGGATTTTAACAGAATAGCAATTATTTTAACAGTTGCAATATAATAACTTAACTGCTTCGGTGGCCGGTTACCATGCCGGACTGCCACGCAGAGGTCCCAGGTTCGATTCGCGGGCCGGGAGAAAAATTTGTATGGCCTACATTTATTTCTCTCGTGAGTGTAATTTGTGGTTGTCTATCTGTGTGTCCATGGCATCCGCGACACTGGGTTTCCCTAGGGCTATGTTGAGTGGTATGCGGTGTTATTATTATAATCTCAATCTCAGTCAAGAAAATCAGCAGAATTAGGCCCCAGGAGAGACGTCAGATTCTATGAACGAAAGTATTTGGTAATTTATTTTATGCTTAAATAGGAGATTTATATAATTTCACTTAAGTAATTGTTTCATGTAGTTTGTATTACTTTTATCAATTTCGTATGATAAAAGCGCTTTGGATGTGTGGATCACATGAGGCTTTATTGTACTAAGGGTACGAAGTCGAAATAGGCGAAGTATATGAGCTGAACTTCAAGTAAATAATACACATGGAGTGAAAAATACCTCCCTTTGAGACATACACAGAATTACTGTTGGGTAATTTAACCGAAAAACTTCAAATAGTCGATTTTTTTACGAAAAAGTTGCCGAAAAATTTGAAAAACATAACTTTAAAGGCTCATGTTATGTTCCACGTTTAGAAATTAAAAAAAAAGATTTAGCGTGAATTATGAAATAAGCTTGTACAGCAGCAAGCAAGTTAGAGTAATACGAGATTTAAAATGATTTCACAACAGCGATAACCTTTTAATGTGTCCATCGTTTTCGTTCAGTAACTTCAAGTTTTGGCCGGTGTCAACGTCAAATGCGGAAAATTAAAGGAAAAATATCCTATATAAAAAATACGTGCGCACCTCTATCTCACCTGATGAAAAGTGATGGTGAGATCGACGATGTAGCATGCACACCTATACAATGCCTATTCACTCTCACCTTGAAAAGGTCCAAGTTATAGCGTTCGGTTAAGTTTCATACACTGAAGACTTAAATTGAAACATATTGAAGAAAAAGAGATACCTACTAATGACTAGGCAATATGGTCTCTGACCTTCGCCTGTTCCGTGCGGAAATATCCGGAAAAATACTTATTTTTCTGAAAAGTATGATTTTTCAAAATGGAAATTTTTCCTTGACCCAACACTACACGGAATTATTGCAGGTAATTACGGTAATAAATATATTCAGAATTTTTGTAATTGTGAGTGAAAATCAGTGTTGTAGCGTGGGGAGTGCAGACGAGGCCGTGGCCCCAGGCGGCAAGCAATGGGGGCAACGACGAGTGCAGCCGAGTCATTAGCAATCAAAATATTTTTTTACTTAGAATTCGAAATAAAAATTCCAGTATTTGAGAAAACGATATCAACACAAGGCAACGGCAGACGATCATAAAAACACAATCGAGCCGAGCCTGCCCGAACGAACTACTTTTGTAATCAAGTTATAGTTGTCCTAAATAGGCAAAACTGCCCATTCACTATTTGTGCCCCGACTCTGTTAATTTTTAAACATCTCAGTTGTATGACAATAGAGTGTCCATGGCTAGATTTTGTACGTTGGGTATTCTGGTAAAAGTTAAGAATAGTGGCTTCTCAGTGGGTAGCCATCGAGATTCAATAGCTATTGCATTTCTATGGTATTCTGCCATTATTCTGCTTTGAAATTTTTTTTTATTTATGGCGCAATCACAGACGATTTTGATTCAAGTGTTCGAGAAGATTCGACCCGATCGGGTAATCTCGACATCATATGGGTTTCTGAGCGAGAAGATAAACCTGATTCCGACTATATCTTTCTTAATTTGCGAGTTAAATCAACTATTGTTCCGATTGGAAATGTCAAAAGTTCCCGATCGGTAAGTTGTGAATCGCAATTATGCGCCTCGACTCGGAAAAGACGCAGTTTCCGATCGGGAGAGGCAATCAAAATCAAGCTGCAGGTACAAGCAATACAGAAAAGGAAACATTTAAAAATTAATTTAATAAACATACCTACCCAATTATAACTGTGCTTAACATTCAAAAGTATTAAATAAAAAACACCCTTAATTTGAAGACTAAATTGCTGCCTAAAGAAGATAAAACTTAAGATATGCATAGCACTTATGTAATTTTAGTAAGGCAACATCGATTCGAGACTCAACTGCCGTTGCAACTAGATTTAAGCAGAATAACAAATAATTCATATTTGCAATATAAACTCAGTAGAGTTTCAATGGAAATACAAAAAATCAGTCGTTTCAAAAAATTTATCAAAATCGGCAGGCAGTCCGCCGCTGGGGTAGGAGACTGCTCACGCACTATATTGCATGTAGCCTAACCTACCGTAAGCTTGTAATCTCATGCGTTATGTTATAAACTGATAGAGATCACAATTTAACGGTGACATATATCGAATAAATATTATTTTTACCGGAAATTAAACAAATAAGTATAATATTTAAATTTGTATAATTAACAGGAAGATTTACACTATTTATTTTTGGTATTACGCGTTCCATTTAGCACCTAATATGAGTGTGTTCTGAAACAATATAGTTGTAAAAAATATCAATCAATACTCTTAAAGGTTACGAAAAATTTAAGAAACGTAACCATCTGGCAACACTGTGTAGGCGAGGGAAGTAAGAAGCTGCTTCGTTATGCGCGCGTAAATTTGTATTGCAGAGCGAACGAAACGTTACATAGAAAAATCTGCTTTTGTGACTTAGGGTCGTATTCCAGAACTCTACTCAATGCTCAAGTCAGGACTTGAGTATGATTCAAAGCACTAGAAATCATACTCAAGTCCTTGCCATTAGAGTCGCATTTCCAGAGCTTGAAGTCAGATTCAAGTCCTGACTTGAGCATTGAGTAGAGTTCTGAAATACAATCCTTAGAGAAGTATCAGTTTATGTGTGTAGCTGTAGTTCACGAACGGGACGGATGATAATAAAACATCGTTCATAAAAAAAATATCACTCATGGTGACCGACAATGTTATGGGTTTCAACATCGATGTTTATGAACGATAATTATATCGATGTTTGACAAAATCGATGTATCGTTTGCATCGCTACTCGTAGGGTAGGACGCACTGCAGGATTGCAGGATGGCTTTCACGCTGCGACTACATTCATAATCCTGCATTATGAATGCATTACGCGGCAGACGGCAAGTCGGACTGCAATGCAGGCTAATGAATGGCCCCTTTACAGCGTAACACTATTTAGTTTTACGTGTGAAATATTCATTATTGCTCTTTAATTTTTCCGGTATGTAGAATTCAATTCCGGCATGAAGCCTTGAAGTTTAAGTAGATACGGTCTGCCTATTCGATCTCTGATCATTATATTCAGCGTTATATAGTTATATTCAAATACCTACATAACTTAAGGTTTATTTCTTAGATGTTTTTTTTTATAAATGAATTAACATAAAATAAAATGTTTTATTTCAAGCACGGACCTGTTTTCCCCAAGACAATAACTCAAAGTCAATGATCTACTTCGTAGGTAAGCATATTACATTTGAAATCATCTTTAACCGACTTCCAAAATACGAGGTGGTTCTCAAGTCTGCTGTATGTTGTACGTATGTTATGCGATAACTCCGTGATTTATGAACCGATTTTGATGATTCTTTTTTGTTGGAAAGAGGGTATCTAGTGGTTCCATTTGAAGAAATTATTTCACCTATAAGGGTGCAAACTAGGGGATGAATCCGGTTTCGTGCACTTTCCGGTAACCGATTTCAATAAAACTTTGCAAATACATGTAATTGTAGTTGTAAATGTAATACCACGAAATTTTGAGGTAGGTTTTGTGGGTACTGTATATTGAGATTATTGTATCATAACTTTAAATCTATTTATAATTAATAGGCTTCATTTACGATTTATTTGTATCAATCACACTAAATTAAATCCCAGGTACAACAAAACATAAAAGAAAGAATGTACTTATTATGGATATCGTTTTTTGTACAAAAACTAAATATTCAATTTGATACATTAGTCAAAGTGAATGTTGCGTAAATGGGAATCGGGTAACGAATGACTTCTCAATGTGTCTAAATAGTGAAACTTTAAATGGTGGGTATAGTGGAAAAGATCCATTACGATCAATCAAACACATTTCTGTTTTCGGACAATCGAGTATCCAGAAATTGAGACGAAATTAGTGCCGGCCATCCATCCCTCTGGCAACTCATCAGACAAATGGGCCTTATATCACTTAAATATCAACTCCCGTTTGCGCTGAAATCACAAATTAGAAAACTGAAATAGTACAGCGCCAACAACCGACCTGTGTGTACGTCTCCGTATATACCAAAAATATTCTGTATTTATTGTAATAAAAATAATATCTTTAACAATGCGGGACTGTTCCATTCGGTGGTGTGGGAAAAACAGCAGAACATCTAATTACGAAACAAACGGAATCACATTCACATGTAATTTTTAAATATTCGTCCATTATAGCAAAACTCAAGTTAAACTGGTAGATTTGAACGATTTCGGGCTGGCCAATCGGAGCGTAGTTGCCACCGTAACGATTTGGCAGAATAGTTTTCAAGCAAATTAAGTGACATTTCGTCTCTATTTCTGGTTATATACTCGATGTTTCGGACAAGTGAAACAAAATAGCTTGTAGTGAGTAACCCAAAAATTGCTTCAATTTTAGTTCAAGGTAATGAATTGCAAATAAATGTTATCTTTTCATAAACATTCTTTCTTTTCAGGGGCCAATGGCGAAGTCGAAGTTAAACTCAAGAAAGACTTAAACTTCTCAACATTCATAGCTATAAAACCTACGGCAGTCAAAAGAAAACGGAAACACGCTTTTGAGAGGGAAAGAATATCCGAACTGGACTTACAGATGGACAATTTAAAGACCATATTGCGTTGTTCCAACGCTACACCAATAAGGTCTTTTAAGTCGTCGAAATTTGTTTGCTGCTACTGCCACGACGAGTTCCCCGACCCTATATACCTGAAACGTCACAACATTAAATCGCACGTTTTCGACCAAGAGCGACCTGATGTATTGAATATACGTTCGCTATCTCGGTATATTGTTTATCTCGATATCACAGACTTGAAATGCAAAATTTGCGATGAGGAAATTGACAATTTAAAACTTCTTACTAAACATATAACAAAAGAGCATAACGAATTCATAAATCAAGGTTTGAATAATCACATTTTGTGCTTTAAATTCGATATCGCCGATGTGTACAAGTGTGTTGAATGTAATTACATTATTAACGATTTCACAAAGCTGCAATTACATATGAATAAGCATTATAAGAATTATTTGTGCGAGTTTTGCGATGAAGGTTTTATAAACAGGAACATGATGGTGGACCATAAGCAGGAGGTTCATAACATGCAGCAAAAAGTCAAGTATCGTGTTAAATTCGTTGCTAAGAAACAGAAGAAAATTCATTAAGGCCATATATATATTAAGGCCAATAGTATTTATTTTTGCTGCAACACTGGGTCATGTTATGTATTATGTATAATGTATATTTTAAGGACTAACATACATATGCATATTATATACTCCTCACTTTGGCGACGTGTGCGTGCTTGCTCCAACAGCATAATTATGCTTTTAATTGATTATTATGATTTTTTTACGCATCAAGTAACAAGTACTTTTCGATATCTTTTACTAAAAAAACTGCGAAAGATTGTTGTGACAGTTATCGATGCTCCGGCTCGAAGGACCAAAGAATATTGTCGATGATCCGGCTCTCGTAGGATCAAAGATGTTCGGTGCATGGACACATTAAACTGGACCGAGCACTTAGTTAATAAAACCAGCCAAATGAGACGCTTCAAAGCAGTAATATGTCTCTTTCTAAGAGGCTGTTCATTCATGTTTCGGACAGCCATATTGTTTGTTACTTTTTAATTGTTACAGAACCTGTGGCCGCTTATGGATGACCAAACCTACTAATATTATTTCATAATACAAATTAATACTTATTTGATATGCTACTTCATAATAGAAGGTTTTATTGTTGATAATTTTTTTTTTGTATTATTACAGTTAAAGCATATTACCTTTAAGCTAATTTTATTTAACCAAAATTTAAAAAATTGAATAGATTAGACACTACCTAAGATGATTTTATTTAGCGTTGGCAACTTGTTAGACAAGGACAGACAACTACTTCGAGCTATCTCATGTGACTCGGTTTTTTACTTTTACTTAAAATAAACCTTAACATAACCCAATAAGGTGTAAATTTGAAATATTGGTATATCGAAGTGCGCGTTCCAGTTTAGGAAATATACAAATCCGTGTTTCGGTGTTCTTAATCTGTGGACTGTATTCGTTCAGGTTCTTGCTCTTCTCAGGATCGGACATGAAACGCTTGCCCAAGTGGCTTCCTACTGACCACCGACTACGTTTATTGTTCAAAATGTTCCTACTTAAGTATGGCGATGGGCGAATAGAGTTATTTAACTCGAGTTACTCCCACAACGAGTCAACTCGAGTTACTTTTTGTGAACTCGAGCTAACTCGGTTCGGCGACCTTCGGAGCACGCTCGGGTCGCGATTGGTCGGCCAATCGTGCCCAACTCGGTGAATCGTCGATTCGAGTTCTACTCGCGACTCGCGGTTGTTCCGTCAGTCACAGAGTCGAGTTAACTCAAGTTAACATTCACGTCAACTCGAGTAACTCGAGTTGAAAAAAATACGACTTATCCCATCGCTACTTAAGTAGGTACAACTATTGGGCTCTCAACTAGTAACTACGTTCGAATGAGGGCGGAGCAGCTTTTCCTTCTCTCTTTAGACCATGGTCAATGCTGTAGTCTTAAAATATTTTATATATAGGTACCTCTAGATTTAAATTTACGAGAAAATGCATGCTATGTGCATACTGTTTGTTCTGTATGTCCTGACATTTTCTTATCTTTTACTGTGTGTACTGGCAAGTACATTCAGCTTAACGTTCTTGGAACAAAAGCGTGAAGCTTCGTATGTTCTGACTTGGAAATGAAACTATTTTTTCGGATCTAAATAGCGTATACTAGTTTATTCAAAGAAACTAATTTTTAAAAGTTTCGTTATCAGACATAACTTGTTGATGACTTTACCATCTCGGCCAGCCATGATCATGGGACTTAAAACCCTGAAATTGAGATCCGAAAAATAATTTCAATTCCAATTGTATAACAATCGTGAAAACCTATAGGAACTCTAGAGGTTCTGATATTTTTTCATTATTGTGATTTTAGATATTCAATGAAGTACATTTTATAATCATGAATTAGTATTTTATGTTTACGCTACGTATAATTTAAGCTTTAAATAAAAATCGAGTATTTTGCAATTGATGTTTCATTGTTTCTTTACCTTTAATGATCACACGTAGACTATCGAAATTCCTAGTGTAGTACTAGAGGATCAAAGAATAGCCCCATAACTTACATTTACGTTTTGATTAGTGCTCCTCCCTATCAACCTCTTGGTTATATGGGAAGGGCACTACACCCTGTGTAAGCAAGCCTGCACAGATACCTTACCAGTTCAGATACTGACCCCAAACCGTCTGGTCTGAGGTCAGTATCCAAGCTTCACCAAGGCTGCCCCTCAAAGCTGCGGCTGCCACCAAGGCCAATAAAAACAACGACAATAAAGCAATGGTCTATTACCTCTGTTCCCCTCATTGCAGCCAGCATATCAACACTGTCGCTAACTACAGCAACATCACAACTTACACATGAACTCACCAAGTATGTACCAATCATTCAACTAGCGACCAAGATTTCAACTTCCAAAAGGCTACCAATAAACCGACAACCCACTTAGATCAATCGTTTCAGGTCATGTCCACCTAGTAATCACTAGGTACCCCACAAAAGATAAACTTTAAATAATCACAAAAATTCCGTCTCATAAGCTTCTCTTGTATCTAAAGCGTACAGCACCCTCCCTAGTTTCTAGATAGGTGGCGGAGCTGTTGGCTTACTTCCCGACGCCGAAGCAAATTCCTACCGGATGGATCGGAGGATATCTAGCTTA